CGCTGCCACTGTTAACCATCGCAAGCTATTCCGTCTGATACGGGAAACGGTCAGCAGTAGCCCTGGCGTAGTGAAATTATACATGACCAGAGTGGACAGCTTATCCACAATTTGTCGAAACGTTTAAAGCGTTTGGGCTGAGCACATCGAAATGTAATTTAATCGGTCGGAATTGTTAGATTCCTCACCGGCCACGGATCGTCACGCTCCGTGGGCTGTCCCTTTGTACCCACACTCTCGCTCAGAATTCGAACGTGAGATCGGACTGTTAAACTTGAACAAAGCCGCGGGACCAGATGATCTTCCTCCAGCCCTCTTCAAATTCAGGGGCTCTACGCTTGTTGATGATTTACATGAATTACTAGTGAAACTGTGGGAGCAGAAAACTGTCCCTACCTACTGGAGCCGCTCCGTTATTGTCCCCATCTTCAAAGAAGGCTTGCGTTCCCAATGCGGCAACCATAGAGGAATCAGTCTGATCTCCATGGGCTCCATGTTACTTGCCTCTGTCATCCTTCACAGACTGACTGCCACTTGTGGAAGCCATATTCGTAAAGAGCAAGCTGGGTTTCGTCGAGGTCGTGGTTGCGTCGACCACATCTTTACTTTGCGTCAGTTGTCAGAGCACCGTCACACATATTGGCGGCCCACTGTAGTCTGTTCCTCGATATCAAAGGTGCCTGCGATTCAGTTGATCGATGTTCCCATTGGAACTGTCTACTCAGGAAAGGTGTACCTGAGAAATATGTAAATATTATCCGAGCATTATACGCGCGTAGCTCAGACACAGCGAGGGCTCACAGTAAGCTGTCGTCGCCCTTCAATATCTCCAGCGGTGCGAGACAAGGATGCCCGTTGCCACCTTTTCTCTTCAACTTCGCTATTGAAGAAGGCATGGAGCCTGAATTTACAGGACACGACTTAGAAGGTGTGGATCTACTCCCAGGAGAACGACTTCTTGACTTGGAGTATGCTGACGATATTGCGTTCTTCTGTGACAGCTCACAAACGTGCCAAGCGGTACTGAACAGATTCGCGCTGGCTGTCCATCACTTCGGGCTTTCTTTGCACCCCTCGAAGTGCAAAGCGTTCCCCCAAGATTGCCCTGGACCGCCTCCTACGCTGACCCTTGGTGGGGATCAGCTAGAAGTCGTTCAGAAATTCTACTACCTGGGAAGTTGTATCGGCACCCGTGGGATTGAAGATGAGGTTACGAACCGTTAGTGAAAGCTCGACACGCTTTTGATAACCTTCCCCACTTATGGTGCCGGTGCGACATCACTCTCGCCCTGAAGGGTAGAGTGTACAATGCAGCGGTACGTTCGACCCTACTGTACGGTTGTGAAACCTAGCCCCTTAGGTCAACGGACATAAAGTGGCTAGTTACGTTCGACCATCGGTGCCTTCGCAATTTGGCTCACATCTGGTGGGAACACCGAGTAAGCAACGAGCGTGTTCGACGCCTTGTTTACGGCACAGGAAAAGGAACTGAACGGTTTAGCACCGTTATTTCACGCACCAGGCTTCGATGGCTCGGCCACGTATTACGCATGCCAGTCCACCGACTCCCGCGACGTACGTTGTTTGCGCGTCGGGGGTGTGGCTGGAAGAAGACGGGTGGTCAAACGCTGACTTGGTCGAGAGGAATGAAAACCCTCATTTCGACGCTGGCCTCGGTTGAAGCGTCTCGGCTCCCTGGTTGGGGACCAAAAGACGATGAAGACGTTTGGCTAGATACACTTGATGACGTGGCTAGGAGCCGACCTCAGTGGCGTTCCTGCTGTGTTTCTTTGTCCCTCCCCATCTCTTTTATCGTCTCCCTCCTAAGCAAGATCTCATTTCGTAGCACAATATAATTTTACATCATAATCTTTGTTGTTGCCTAGTAGCCGGCTAGTGGCTTTCCGGAACGATGCCCATCCATTTCTGGTAGCTCAGCTGGCATGCAACTGCTGTATTTCTATTTTTTATCTTTTACGTATTGTGGCACAATAGCTGAAATGCTTTTACACCTCTAGCTAACGTGTATAATGATGACGAAATAGCCATGAACAAAGCAGCCATCAAGGGTGTTAAAAGAATATTGACACCCATTTTATACATTTCTGTATTAATGTTCTCAATAGACCAAACAAACCCGACATAGACATCCTGTGCAACATCAGGTAACACATGGAAACAACAGGGAACTTTTATAGTCTAATAATATTGAAAAACGATTGTCATTTTCCATCATTTGTGGTCGTCGGACTAGATAAATTGCTTTATTTACCTGAACATGCCTTCACAGGCGTCTCGACAAAAACGAGAACATACAGCTCATTTATTTATTTTAGAGGAAAGAGGAGTTATTCCCAGGGAGCTTCGCCAGATACTTTCAAGGCAGTTTCATCGTGGACACCCTGGCATTAACAGAATGAAAATGAGTGCGCGGAACAGCGTTTACTGGCCGGATATCTACTCGGAGCTGAGACAGCTGGCAGTTGTGCCCGAAATGTGCACTTGTCAGCAAGACACCCAAGAAAATGGAAATGTCTACTTGGCCGTTGTCAAGGAAACCGTGGGGGCGAGTACACGCGGATTTCTTTGGTCCCATGAATGGACAACCGTATCTCATCGTTGTTGAATGCTTCAGTAAGTGGCCGAAAGTGTTCTGCATAGAACACACAACAGGTGGCGCAACAATTGGCATACTGAGAAGACTTTCCGCCCAGCATGGAATACCAGAGACCCTAGTTACTGACAATGGCCCTCAGTTCGCATCTTCGCAGTTTACCGAATATTGTATGCAGAACGGTAGAACACACCTATGCTCACCGCCGTCAAACCTGCAGTCCAATGGGAATGCGGAGCGCTTTGTTGTTACGTTTAAACGGACGCAGCTGAAGATGTGGGAGGAAGGAACTGCTCAAGAGATATTGGATGTTTTCCTTCTACTGTATAGATCAACTCCGAACCCCCAGATGCCAAATCAGTTGTCCCCAGCAGAAGCGCGGGTGGGTAGAAAACTGTACTCTGAATTCCTTGCTGCTTCCGAAGCGTATCGCCCCGCAACACAGGAATGCGAGAATGGAAGATTACTTCAATCAGCAGCACAGGACGCGAGTACGTCTAGTTCACCCAGAACAGAGTATTTTAGTCAGAGATTATTGCCTTGGAAGAAAACAGTGGACCACAGACTCGATCTATTGCAGACTTGGACAAGTGCTGTATAAAGTTCGAGTGGGTGTCATGATTTGGACCATAAATGAAAACCAGTGCGGCCTACCAGCATTTAGGTAAATACCAGTGAATGATCGCTGCCACTAGATATTCTGCTGGATAATTTCGACATAATCAAGTCAATGTTAGTGAACATAAGTTTTCGACAATTCTTCATCAGGCTGCTACAATTATATACCAGTTACATCGATTAGACAAAGTGCTGGGGTCGTACAAATTCCGTAAAATCAGTTTACAAGAGGTCAGCTATCGCCACTAATCAGGTCGATGTTGGAGCGATCCACATACACCCAGGAACTCAGTAGCGACCTAATGAGCCTTGCCCGGTGACCGCAGGAAGGAACTTGCAGCCAAGACGATGGACTGATCTATGGTCAGAATGAAGCTGGATCCCAGGAGGAAGTCGTAGGTCACTTTTCGACGGGGAGATGTTATGGGAGCCCATAAGAAGCAGCTCTCGAAGTTATCTCTCTTTACAGCAGCCTGGAGAAGATTGGTCGTACGTCGCCGGAAGCAGATTGGATAGCCAAAGAGAGTAAGCCAATGGCATCGTTTTATCTTGAAGTGGACCAATGAGAATGAAGTGCCTTGAAACTCTCCGGCAAGCGCACTACTTGAACAGCCAACAAGCGAGATTCTTGCGCATCTAATAGTTGCTATAGTCAGGAACTTTCAATTAAGTCGTTCTCACATGAACTATTTATTTGGACTCCACATTTTGGTTCGGCATACTTTCTTCCGGTTGCTCCATACAATTTCCGCCAGAGGTCCTTGTCTTCTGAATTGGAAAGTGGCTGTATCGTGAATCGAGTGGCTGTATCGGTTATCCGCAATGTCAGCGGAAACACATGAGTTAATGCCACCGTTAATCTTAATCCAGTCATGGTAGACAGGGACTCAGTGGGTGGCCAAGTAAAGTGAATGGTACCTTGGTCCTGATCGGACCAGTGCGATTCCACTAAGGCATGCAATTACGACTGAAATCGCAGTCTACGTTTAGGTGGGGTCATTTCAACCGAAGTAACCAGAGCGATAAAAAGAAAACACAAATCGAAGCTGTTTCTCAGTGTACGCGCCACTGCTGACAAGATAAGTCTGCGTACACATCCAGTCACCCAAATAGAACGGTCTTAAAAATTACATGAAAACTTCCATCCGTGGCCAGTAAAAAGAAAAATGTACCTAAGTACAAGCTTATCAAATAGCGATGATCTTACAAGAGTGCAAAAGATCCAACCTATCCATCAGTGTGTGTATTAATTTGGTTAATTTAGTTCGCTGGCAAAAACGCAGTCCGTCAAATCTGAGACGAGTTATCACCGTTTTACTCGAAGTTGATGGGAAGGGGTCAAAAGTCATACCATGAAGAGATAGTTACCTTGAAATCGTAGCAAGAAAAAGCAAGTGGGCAAATTTCAGACTCATTGTGCAGGTTTGCTACAGAAAATTGTGCTTTCAAAGGGACAAGTAGAGCAGGAACAAAAAGTCATCTTAGTGAAATTTGCACATCATACCAAATGAAAGAACATGAAGCTTTTTCTCGGTTCGGTTGATTGTCATCGCTCAATGTCCTCAACTCGGCTGATTGTAGTATAACAAGAAAAACAGACAAAGCGACACAAAATCAGTCAAGAAATCTGGAGAAACAAGCTGCTTGTATCGTTACAAATTAAGTGAAGAAAAAACTAAAATGGTAACATGCCTGAAAAACTCGACAGGCACTATTGCTAAGTGACATTTTGCGATTACAAAAAGAAACAAAAACCAGAAGCGCTTACCTAGCGGGATTTTTCATCTCTCCAGTGAGGAAGTTAAGGTAATTCCTAAAATTAAATCGCATGAATTTGGTGGGGCGCGTGTACCATGCAAATGCTTAATAACATGCGACGAATACTAATGATTGCATTAGGAACATGGACAAAACAAATATTGGAAGACAACACTATTAAACCAACGGTTCGAGTAACGCCCGTGGCTGTGAGACTCGAATGCGCACAAAAGCTTTCGTTATCCCAACAGTATAATCTAGATCACTCGTCACATCTACGAATCAAGTTAAGCGCTCCGTTAATCTGTTGTTTTGTCGAGTCCAACACCAATAAATGAAGCAAGTGAGTTTAAGTGCAGATAAACTATGAAAGTTATTTATTTACAATCAACCGCGTAGAACCTTTTAAAGTCAGCCTGTGAAACAAGCCGTCATATTATGCACCACACTAAAAAAACTACAGAAACAAAGGTCCATGAACCTAAATAAGATGGTTGTCCAGAGTAATGAAACCGAAGGGTGCTTACAGGAGGTAAATGTGATAATGTTACTTTACAGGTGACAAAACGAATGTAAGTCAAGTCAAAATAAGTTTTATGAACCCTAATGGGTTCATTTTCAGAATATACACCAGCATTGTGGACACCTGAATGATAATATCTATATACATGCCTGGGGAAAAAATTGGAAAATGCACAATGGTTACTCCAACAACCGCTAGTACAGCATGTCAGTGATTTTCTCGCTGGGTCAACAAGCAAACGTGTGAGATAAGGCAAAACAGTATTCCGATACGATGACGTGCGGGAAAATAAAATCCTTAATTTCGAACGAGTAGAAGAGAGCGTTTTGGAAAGATCATTTTGGAGTGGATGGAACCGCTCGACCTTCGAATAAAAATAATTGCAGGCATCAAAATGTTGAGAAATGATCAAATAAACTAAAGAATCTCTAGACCACCCGCTGCATTCAGAAATGTGCCTTATAGATCGCACCAATAAGATGTGGTCTTTCTGAAGCGGTCCAGTGAAAATAACAGGATAGTAGTATAACGAATGGGAAATAATGCAAAAGGTCACTAACCTGAATATTAAAGTACGAGGTACCGAAAGCATCTTAAATCTGAGGACATAAAAAAGAAGTTTCCTTACTTTCTGAAAAATTTTACAGACATGCGTGGACCAATAAATGTTCTGGGACAAAAAGACGCCGGGATACTTGACCGCGGAAGCGCTGGGTATGGAATTTTCATTCGCAGTAAGGGTGGGGGAGAAATCTATGAAGACCGCAACTTATCGCCACGGAAAAAATATTATATCACTGTGTCTAGAAGCATTAAGCGTAAGAGATCTGGATGTAGAGCATTCACAGCACAACAACATCAGCATAGTTATACCATATAAAAGTGGTTTGTATAAGGAGACGTTCTACAAGGAAAATAGAAAAGGCGACAGGACCGCTCCCTGCAGAACACCACAGTCGGCATGGACGACAGAAGATTTCTTAACGTGCAAGTGAATACGATCCCTAAAACGGTCGCGTAAAAGATTACACCCGGATAAACTTTACTATCGGATAGTAGATTTAGCAACATTGAACTATCCAGGCATCCGAAGGCATTCGAAGAATCCATGAAATCTCAGGGATTTACAATTTCGATCTAATGCAAAGACTAAAGAATGAACAAAACGCCATTGAATTCAACGCGGAGCGCTGGGATTAATATGCAAACTGGTAGATATCGTCCTCAGGAGTGGCGCAACAAATAAGCGGAATCAACGGTCGACGGAAATCATCATCATTATACATGTCAGCTAGAGGTGTAAAAAGACCTCAGGTACGGTGCCGCAATAGACAGATGAAATCAGAAGAAAAATATGCAACAGGCGCAAGTCAGCTGAGCTTCCGGTAACGCATGAACATGGTTCCGGTAAGCGACCAGCCGCCTACTGTGCATCAAAAAATATAACTACGCAAAACGATATAACGCTAGATAGAGAGGTCATGGTGTGAGGGGGGGGGACAAAGAGGGATGAAGTGGGACAAAGAAACTCACAGCAGGAACGCCACTGAGGTCGGCTCCTAGCCATACCAACAAGTGTATCCAGCCAAACGTGTTCATCGTCCTTTCGGACCCCAACCAGAGAGCCGAGACGCTTCAACTGAGGCCAGTGAGGCCTTCATTACTCTCGACCAAGTCATCGTTTGGCCACCCCTCCTCTTCTTCCATCCACACCCTCGGCGCTCAAACAACACACGTCGCAGGACTCGGTAGATTGGAATGCGTAATACGTGGTCAAGCCATCAAAGCCTGGTGCGTGAAATAACGGTGCTAAATCGTTCAGTTCCTTTCCTTGTGCCGTAAACAAGGCGTCGAAAACGCTCGTTGCTTACTCGGTGTTCCCACCAGATGTGAGCCAAACTGCGAAGGCACCGGTGGACGAACGCAACTAGCCTCTTTATGTCTGCTGATCTAAGTGGCTAAGTTTCACAACCGTACAGTAGGGTCGAACGTACCGCTGCATTATACAATCTACCCTTCATGGTGAGAGTGATGCCGCGCCGGCGCCATAGGTGCCCAACGTTAGCAAAACCGTCTCGAGCTTTCACTATACCGTTCGTAACCTCATCTTCAATCCCACGTGTGCCGATACAACTTCCCAGGTAGTAGAATTTCTGAACGACTTCTAGCTGATCCCCACCAAGGGTCAGCGTAGGAGACGGTCCAGGCCAATCTTAGAGGAACGCTTTGCACTTCGAGGGGTGCAAAGAAAGCCCGAAGTGATGGGCAGCCAGCGCGAATCTGTCCAGTGCCGCTTGGCACGTTTGTGAGCTGTCACAGATGAAAGCAATATCATCAGCATACTCTAAGTCAAGAAGTCGTTCTCCTGGGAGCAGATCCACAGCTTCTAAGTCGTGCCTGTAAACGTGATCACCAAGCCTACGTCAATAGCGAAGTTGAAGAGGAATGGTGACAACGAGCATTCTTGTCTCACACCGCTGGAGATATTTAAGGGCGAAGACAGCTTGCCGTAAGCTCACACTCTGCCCGAGCCACGCGCGTATAATGCTCGGATTATATCTACATATTTCTCTGGTACACCTTTCCTCAGTAGACAGTCCCAAAGTGCACGTCTATCCACCGAATCAAAGACACCTTTAATTTCGAGGAACACGACAACGGTGGGTCGCCAATATACGTGACGGTGGTCCAACAACTGACGCAAGGTGATGATGTGGTCGATGCATCCACGGTCCCTATGTAACCCGGTTTGCTCTCCACCAATATGGCTTTCACGAGTGTCAGTCATTGTAAGGGAATTCAGACACGTAATTTGGAGGCGACGAAGATCAAACTGCTTCCTGTGGTTGCCGCATTCCGAGCGCAAGCCTCCCTTGCAGATGGCAACAAAGAAGGAGTGGCTTCAGTCGGTTGGGACAGTTTCCTGCTCCCACAGTTTCACTAGTAACTCATGTAAATCATCCACAAGAGCAGGTACCCCGAATTTGAAGAGGGCTGAAAGAAGATGATCTAGTCCCGCGGCTTTGTTCAACAGGCCCATCTCACGTTCGACTTCTGAGTGAGGGCGGATCCAAAGGTACAGCCCACGGAACAGGCTTGTCATCTTGCGGAAGGGAAACAAATCTTTCCGGTATCTTAAAGTGCTGTGCCAACGCTCCAACCGATTTGATAAGTTGTGGAAACGCTGTCCACTCTCATCACATATAGTTTCACTAACACTAGGTCTTCTGTTGCCCGTTTCCCCTATCAGACGGAATAACTTTCCATGGTTACCAAGGGCAGCGGCCATTTCCATCTCTGAAGCACGAAGAGACCGCCAAGATACACGATCTCTCTTCAGGCTAGCACGGAGTTTTGCCCGGAGCTCTTTGCGAGTTTCACTGTGTTCACTTCCAGTCGGAATATGCTGGCAAGTATCGATAACTTCCAGAGCTTGGAAAGAGACCCAATGTCCATGTTGGCTATTAGACTTACCACCTGAGGACTTGCCTGCTGCTAGTAAGGTCTGGTGAACATGCGACTAGTGACCTTCAACTGCATCCAGTGAGCGCTTACTCAACACGCGTGACAGCGCACTTTGATAGGCATTCAGCGCAGCTGGCTTCGCCAGTTTGCTGTTGTCAATGCGCTCACAGCGTCGTCGTTGGCGTCCGCCAAAGCGCATCCGCATGTCAGCACATACAAGTGCATGGTCGGTGTCCCCACTTGTGCTCCAAATCGAACGACAGTTCTGGACGCAGTCTCTCCATCGGTAACTTATCGCAATGTGATCGATTTGCGTCCAAGGCTGGTTGGAGGCTGGTGGGCGCCAAGTCACCCTCCGGCGAGTGATGTGTCGGAAATTCGGGCTAGCAAAAAACACGCGAGCATCCTCAAACAAATGAAGTAACCGCTCACCGTTATCATTACGGGAGCCTACACCATGTTGGCTGCCCAGATGCAGTTCATCAGGGGATAAACTTCCAGCTTGAGCGTTCAAGTCTCCAGTCATCACAACAGTGTCCGAGCTTTTTCTGTGGCGAAGAACTCATTCAGTTGACGATAGAAGTCCTCTTTTACCGAATCATCGCTAGAGTTTGTCGGTGCATAGGCAGCGGTAACGAATAGACACCTGTTAGTCCTGCGCGACTTCGAAGCTTTGAACGAGCCAGCCAAACGGACCGCACACATCCGGCTACTGATTGGGTTCCCAACAACCAGACCAGCTTCAGCCCGGGGACTCATGGCAACACCAACACCGGCTTGCCCGGTGCTCGAAGCTGCATTGTCACCGGATAGGCGCAAGGAGGAAATACTGCTGGTGTCACCTGAAGTGGATCGCAGAGTGAGCACAGAGCCCGAGTCTTGCAGGCGGGTATCCGATAAGCAGCAGATATCGATCAAGAGGGTCTCTAATGTTCGACAAGCGCTGCTTGTTGACTGATCTGTAGTAATGTGCGAACATTGAGGCATGCCAATCTTAAGGAGGATCGAGGGCTTTAGATCGAATCCGATGAACTGGAGTGGACCACTTACATGGACATGGGCCTGTT